CAGTTGCTGAACTGGGCTTCCCAACATCTTGAGATACATTTCACAAGTCAGGAGGAAAATAACTAATATATCCCTCCACCCACTCCCCCTCAGATTTTTAATACAGGCCTAGAGGTTTGTGGGTTTTTTTTGGAGGGGGGGGGGGAGCATTTTATTTTAACCACCTCCAAATCTAGAAGATATCCTATTAGAAAAAAACTCTAAAACTGATGGAAATAAAGCTAATATACTCCAAGGGTTACTCAAATTCTATTTACATGATTTTTAACATTTCTAACTTGTCAAAGGTAAAACACCTTTTTTACCCACTGTGTGGCTGGATGAAGTGAAAGTGCAAATGACTAAATATAAATAGTATGTATCTCAATCCAATATCTCAGACTATGAATGAACTTTTTTTATTCCTATGAAGGTGGCAAATGCGTGTTTGCTACGTATACTAGCTTCTTATGGGCACAGTATTTAGAAGGGCTTTCACTGATTCACTAAAATTCCCAACTTCAATCTAAATTTGTCAGAAGAGCAAATTATCTTCACATTGCCATAAATTAAAGAGAAGTCATAGTTTCCACAATCTCATTTCCCTAATGCACTAATAAGGGCCTTCAAATGTCAATTTGAGAAAGTGCTTCCTTCTTTCTGGGTTCAATAAGCAAAAGAAATTTGCTTCTGACCATTCTTTTTAATTTCCCTTTCTTCCAAACTCTTTTCATAAATCAAACACAATGATTCTCATAAAAAGGTTCCATTCTAATCTCCAAAATGGCAATACCTAAGCTAAAATTTTAAAGATAAGCCTTGAGACGAATGGCCTTGAACGATTCCATTTGGAAGAAATTGAAGAGGATGAAATCTATGGCATGGCAGGCAAAAAGGCCCATTGGTCTCTTAATGATGGGAGAATGAGGACTTTTTTATAATAATATCCATTTGTGGCAATGGGTCTCAATCATTTTTTAGCCCCAAAGCACTTCTGATAAACAGAAATTTTGCTTTACTGCTATTTGAAATTTCAAAGTAAACAGCACTAAAAAGAAATGGAAAGTAATGGTCATTTTTTAAAACGTTTGTTCAAACTATCTGGGTCCCTTAGAGTGTCCCTCCCCAACCCTCTGCCAGATGAAAAGCTATGTGCACAGATCTCTAGGAATAACTCTACCTTTCAAATAGGCCTTGTTTAGTGACTGTAGTTTCAAGTTGGTGTCCACACTATCATCAATTCTTTTTAATCTTACTAAAAATAACGTGCTTAATGAGTATAAAGAATCCCAAGGCACTAATGAAACGATTACTCTAGAAATTAGGAATAAGGAATAAAACATACTTCTAAGATACAAAAAGATCAACTATCTCTTACATCTTCCTTTCTACCTACATGTTTGTAGTCAAACCTCCTCCATTTCAAATCAAGCAACCAATAACACCTCCCAAACAAGCCCCAAAGGCTCCTTCCTGTCTTGTCCCCTTTCTAAGATACCATTTGTTCTTTGTCCTTCTTACAAGCATTATGCAATCTGCCTTCGGTCTCCACCAAACCATTGAGATTACTTTGGTAATGAGCATCAATAACTTTCTCTATGTACAATATTTTAATCTCCCTCACCACTAATTAATTGATTTCTTCTTTTATCTTGATTATTTCCTTCTCAATATAGTTTTTTTTTGTTTTGTTACCTGTTTAATATTTGAATTTAATGCTTAGTCCACTGATGAGAGATAGCTAGTTGCCTTCCAGTACTCATTTCCCCTTCTTCTTCATTAGCAGAATGCCTAAACTATGTAGAGAGACGGTACACTCAGCAAAAATATTACATTTCCTAGCCTTCCTCAGCAGGATGTGACTAAGAGACTCAGTTCTGGCCAATAAGAGATAAATGGAAGTGTTACGAAAATCATCTTAAAAAGAAGAGTGCCCTTCTTGTACCCATCCTTGTACTGCCTGCTCAAAATGAAAGCTGTGATGCCAAGATAATGGCGAGAGCTCTAGCAAATATTTTGGACCAGGAAATAAACATCAGGATGAAAGTCTCTCAGGAGAAGGACAGGAACCTAGGTCTCTGATGATTCTGTGAAGCTAATGAGTAGGGAAAAAACTCGCCTTCTCTCTGTGTTTCTCCTTTACTCTCGCACTGCTATCACATTCACAACACCTCTGAACCTAGTTGTGTGGGGGCTTTTCCCACACCAAGCAATTGTGTGACACCCACTGGGTATCCTACCATTTAACTCAATTCTGGCCTATCCGGAGACAGTGTCGGATCCCGCAGGTTAAGGACTCAGTCCACAAGTCTGCTCCCACCCCACTTTAGGTAACAATTGCAAATCCAGGTTGTTACCTGTGCAGAAGCTGATCAGCTAGAGGTTCCCATAATCCCCATCCTGGCTTCAATTAATTTGTTAGAGTGGCTCACAGATCTCAAGTAAACAGTTTATTTACTATCTATCAGTTTATTATAAAAGAATATGATAAAGGGTACAGATTAAGATCCAGATGGTTGAGATGTGTAGGGCAAGGTATATATGTGGCAAGGACTGAGGACTTCCATGCCCCTTCCCAGCACCTCCATATGTTCAGTAGCCCAGAAGCTCCCTGAATCCTTGGGAGTTTTATGGAGGCCTAACCATGCAGGGATGACTGATCTTTAACTTAAATTTCCAACCACTCTCCTCTCTCTAGAGAAGTGGGGAAGTGGGGACTGAATTTCAAGCTTCTAATTATGCCTTGGTCTTTCTAGTGACCAATCCCCATCCAACAGCCATACAGGAGCCCACCCAGAGCCATCTCATTAAAACAAAAGATGATCCTGGTACTCTCATCAATTAGGAATTTACAAGGGTCTTAGCGGCTCCGTTAGGAACCAAGGAGGAGGCAGACACACAGACACACACACACACACACACACACACACACACACACTCATCTCACAGTGAGTAAGATTAAAAGACTAAGCTATCTAACATAAGGTCATGGAAAAATTTTAATAACATGACAAAATGCTTATGTCCCAACATTAACAAAAATAAGAAGCATATAAAATTGAATCATATATAAGAAAGCACTCATATCCTCACTACTCCCAAAAAAAGGATTAAATAGTACTTCAAAATGCCTCAAGGTCCATGAATTATAATTTCTTTCCTTGCTCCTTTACATTTCTCTTTACTTCTCCAAATTTTCTATAATCAACATGTAATATTTTTATAATCAGAGCTAGAGGTGGGGTCCCTCGCTCTGGCCTGTGCCCTCTCACATCCTGGAACTCCTCGGGGGATGTTGGAGGCCTGATGCACAGCTTTGACCTGATCCCTGCAGGCCAGGCTGAGGGACCCCACTAGTGCACAGATATTTGCATATAAGATCTTTGGTTAATCCTTCTTGTCCTCTCCCCTTCCCCCTGGGATTCATCAGTCTGCTCCATATTTCCATGCCCATGCTTTGAGCGTCTGCCCCCTGATGGTCAGTGCATGTCATAGCTAGCAGTCGAGCAGCAGAAGGGTGGAATGGTTGGTCACTAAGCCTATTAACCTTTTATATGTATAGATACTTTTATAATAAGGTTTAATAGTAAAGGGTTTTTTTAATCTGAAAATTGTGGGCCACCTGCATACAGTGGTCTATTGAAATACTAGATACAGAATGATCTCATTAATGCACAACAATGGCACATTATTACTCCAATAATGTCAGGTCAGAGTATGCTCACATTTGTAGAAAGAGGGTTAATGTTCAGTTTTGATATCCAAGTATGCATAAACAAGGAATTATTTTTGTCTTTTTTATTTTCAAAAATGAGATTTCAAGATATTGATTTTATTGCTTAAACATGAAAAAGGATTAATTACTTCAATTCCGACTAGATTTTCAATTTGGCATAATAATAGGCCAACAGAAACACATCTGGTCACACTGCTGATAAAAGTCTACAGCCAAAGGTAGGCAGTGTTGTCTTGTACAAGATGGATTTCTCTTTTTTAAAAATAGAACTGTATGACAAATAGCTGTAGTGAACGGAAATTGAAGCTAACACATTTCTTTGCTGTTATCTAGAAGGAATTGCATTTTAACCCCACATACTCAAGTACCAATAAATTTCTGGCCTCATATTTGAAAAGAAACATTTTGACAAAAGATAAAGACCTGGAAAAATAAACATCATATTTTCTAAGCGTAAACACAAAATATGCTACCTTCTACTTTGCGTTGCATTAGCTCATAAATATACTTGAGACAAATCAAAATTCTTTCTTTATGAAGTTCAAGAAATTCTCTTCAAATGTCTTTTCTTGCTCAGGTATACGAAAAGACTAAACAAGTAACATAACAGTATAGATATTCTAATTAAAATATCTGGAATAGGACTTAAAAAAACTGAAATGATATCAGATTATACTAGTAATATATTTGACCTACCTAATATAGTTACAGCATACAAGTTTTCTTTTTGAGTGTTAAACAACAGTAAAACAGACCTTTCATGATAGCATCTACTATACCAATAATATGAAATATTCAAAAGGCAATAACAGCCCAGCCAGTGCAGCTTAGTGATTGACCTATGAATCAGGAGGTCACGGTTCGATTCCCGTTCAGGGCACAAGCTCAGATTGTGAGCTTGATCCCCATTAGGAGGCATGCAGGAGGCAGCCAGTCAATGATTCTCTCTCATCACTGATGTTTCTATCTCTCTCTCCCTCTCCCTTACTCTCTGAAATCAATAAATATATATATATATATATATATATATATATATATATATATATATATATATTTTAAAAAACAAACAAACATATACTATATGCTGACACCTCTTCTAGGGTTGCTATGAACTGCTATTCTCACCCCAAATTCATGAAGGACATATATATTACAAATTTAAGAACTCAAATACTTGTAAAACGATAAAATCTGAAGATTTTATTTAGTCTTTTTTTTTTTTTTTTTTAAGAAAAAAACCTCTCTACTTCATTTCATTTTCTTTTAAAGATGTCATAATTTTTACCTTTGCTGCCAAGGCTTTCAAGCTGTCCAGGAATCTTTGCCAGAAGTCCTTGAAGAGTGGGCGGTCAATTTTCTTCAGGCTGTCTTTGCTGCTGGCATCCACACTGACGTATAGCTGAGTAACCGGTTTAAGATTCCTTGGTAATTTAAAATTAAAAACAATAAACACAACAATAAAAAAGTGTTATGCCTATATCAGGCTTTTCATGATGCAAAATTTACAATCTGTAATAGATGGGGCTATTAAACATTTCACTGGGTCTAGAGGCTTCTACTTCTCCCAGAAGATTGAAACAAGGATTTTAATCATGTGGCAGAATGGGATGTTAGTTGATTGTTTTTTAAAATGACTGGTCACCATCTCTAATAAACTGAAAACATTCAATCACTTAAAACTGGTCCCTCTTCAAACAATAGGTATTCGCGGAAAATACACAAAACAAGATCTGGCTTAGTCAAGGCTTACATAATTGAAATCTCACAGCCATGTGGGATCTGTGCTGATAGACCACCTTCTATCATCAATTCACTCATGGAAGTTTTCTAAGGAACAAAAAACAACCCCAAAAACCCAAGCCTTCTTAAAGGGCAGAAAACCACACAATGCCTCACCTATACCTGAGGGCAGAATTGGTTTCAAAGACAAGCTTGCTTGGGCAATGACTATTCTGAGAGCTTTAAGCAATGCAGAGCTAGAACAGCAACCAAGCACTTACAAAGGACTCATTCATTTCATAATGCTATTCTATCTACTAGATTTCTTGCCAGTATAGTTTTAAGCCCAGATTGTACTTTTTCCAAAGTCTCTATGGTCTCCCTTCAAATGGGCCTCATAATTCATTGTATTCAATAAATTTAGACCTAGAAAGAAAATCCCCCCTTAATAATTCTATGAGCAAATCCTTCAACTATTAATTTTCTATAACTATTCTATAATTTGTATTTACCACTAGAATGTTACTTATGCATTTTTGTTTCAAAGTTTATGAATTTTTAAAAACTGAAATATAATTCACATGCCATAAAATTCACCATCAAAATGGTTTATGTGCTTTTTATGTCTATTAGTATCAGCCTTATCAATCTTTGAGTATCCCTTGAAGGACAGGAACCATATTTTTCTTTTTATCCAGCCATATAGGCAGACACTGAAAGCTACCTTTTAGTTGACTTTAGCTGACAGGACTTTTAAGGATATGTAGGCCAAACAAATGATTGCAATGATCTGGCTTAGTGACATGGAAAAATCAGAAAGGTCTCATTGAAGGTAGGAAGTTCTAAGCAAAGTTAGAAAAGAAGTGATATTGGCAGACTCTCATTGCTTTAATCCCTCTTCAGCATTGACATTCAAAGGGAATCCTTAAAAGTTCAGTAATGTGTCACTACCGAGCAAAGGATATCAATTACTAAAAATGCGAAACAATAGTATACGTAATGGCACCTCTTTAACAACAAATAGGCTATGCTACCTTAACAGTACTTTATGTTCCACAAAAAATAAAAATAAAAAGACTATTTTAATGGATACTACTGGCTATCATTATCTGATACTTATGAGACTTTGTTATAAATCTGTCTGATGCAAAATGGAATCTGGCCTGACCTCTTCACTATGCCTCCATAACTACTTAAGATTATGAACAGTATATTCCAAAGCCCATGGTTATTTTACAAACCTCCAACATTTGTAAAAAAGGAAGCCCTGGACACTGACAGTACCAATAAACTACTTTGTCAATACTAAATGTCTGAGGTGCCATAATGAAGGAAGCCTACAGATCTCTTGCCAGGGAGCAGAGAAAAAACAGAGAAGAAAAAATGTCCCTGGGAATTATAACTCATTCAAAAGCAGTAAAAGGACCTTGGAAAAGTCTTTTGAACTCAGGATCTAATGTTTGCCTGGTATTGGCCTCTATTCCCCAGGACAGGAATTAGGCTTCCAACATGATCATTTGTCCATTCTAATCATAGACAGCATCATTTTAAGTCCCCAAAAGCAAAAAGATGTTTTATCCTTAAAATCATCAAAATAATTGCCTTGCCTGAGAATCTCACGTTGCTGCTGAGAACAATAAAAAGGACTATACCAATACAATCCTAATAAGCCCAATACCTAGTGAAAATGCCCAGTGAATTGTGAAATGATTATTGTGATGACCCTTCATCCTGCTAATTTTAAGTCTGAGTTGAGGATGATCATATATGAAATGCATTGTTACTGAACATAAAAGCCCCCTCCCTTTTCCTCCCCTATAGAGATGTAGGCCTTCTAATTTCTACAGAAAGGAAAAAAGGCTGAGGGATTTATGTTTGTAAGAAATCAAATGGATTAAATAATAAGTATGATTGGACAAAAATAAATAAATCCCTAAGTAGCCCAAACTTTCAATTCCAGAATCCCTAAGACAACTGGGAGCTGTCACATCAGGCCAAGTACAGTAATTTGGGAGGAAGAGAGAATGAGAAGATTTACTGAGCACTCATCATGTCCTGAGTGCATTGTGCTATGTTTGATCTTTCTTGTTCAGTTCACTGAATCCTCAGAATAAACAAGGTAGTTGCTACTTATGTCCATTTTAGAGATGATGAAACTAAGGTTCAAAGAGATTAAGGGGTTTGTTCAAGGATTCACAAAAAAGATGTCAAAATCTTGTACCGTATTTTTCGGACCATAAGACGCACTTTTTCCCCCCCAGAAGTGGGGGGGGGGGGGAAAGTCCCTGCATCTTATGGTCCAAATATAGCCTACACATATACTTTTTAAAAAAAGTTTTTTTACTTGCCCAGCTCTTTGTGGTCTCTGTGTGCTTGCCCGGCTCTAAAATGGTTCTAAATGCTGCTGTTTACTTTACAGGGTTGATTACATGTGTTTATGACTGTGATGTTGGGTTTTAATGCACATAAAATATTTTAGGACACTATTTGTTTCAGAATCTTTTTTTCTTCATTTCCCTTCTCTAAAAACTGGTGCGTCTTATGGTCCGGAGCGTCTTATGGTCCGAAAAATATGGTATTTAATTATCTCAACAACAAGATTCAAGCCAAGAAGTACTCCAGAGCCTGTTTTCCTAGCCCTGTACCACAAGGCCTCCATCAAAATGGCCAGATCACAGGCAGTGCAGCCGGAGCCTCTCATCACAGAAACCCAAAAGCAGTATCTCAATCCTCACAGTAGTGTATCTCTAAGTGTGCTCAGGGCCATCTGGATCAGCAGCATGTGGAGCCCTGGCCAGCGTAGCTAAATTATGAGAGTGTTGGCCTGCACAATGAAGGGTCTCAGGTTAATTACCAGCCAAGGGTAATTACCTGAGTTGCAGATTCGCTCCTGCCCCCTCTCGGGGCATGAGTGGGAAGCAACCAGTCTATGTGTCTCCCTCACATGGATGTTTTTCTCTCTCTCTTTTTCCCTCCCTCCCTTCCAGTCTCTCTGAAAAGCAATGGGAAAAATATCCTCAGGTAAGGATTAATAAACAAATAAATGATTTTTTTTTAAAAAAAGGAAGTACACGAAAATGCAAGTTCTTGGGCTTCCCCCAAGACTGAATCAGCCTCCAGAAATGGGGCCTTAAAAAGTATAACATTATTTTAGTTTCAAGAACATCTCAACATTGATGAAAGAAACTGAAAACACAAATAGATGGAAAGATATCCCATGTTCTCAGATCAGAAAAATTAATATTGTTAAAATGTCCATAATACTCAAAACCATATATGGATTCAATAAAATCCCTATCAAAATTCCAATGACAACTTTTTATAGAAACAGAAAGAAAAATCTTAAAACTCATAGAACTATAAAAGATGCTGAATAGCCAAAGTAATCCTGAGAAAGAATAAAACTGGAGGTATTATCCTTCCTAATTTCAAACTATACTATGAAGCTATAGTATTCAAAACAATAGGATATTGGCATTAAAAACAAAAACAAACAAACAAAAAAACACCCACCCATGTTTATGGAACAAATCGAGAGTCTAAAAAATAAACCCACTCATATATGGTTAACTCATAATCGACAAGGGAGCCAAGAATTCTCAATGTGGAAAGGACAGGCTCGGCCATAAATGATGCTGGGACAAATGAATATTCACATATGGAAAAAATGAAATTGGACCCCTATATTAGACCACTCAGAAAAATTAAGTCAAAATGAATGAAAAACTTAAATATAATACCTGAAACTGTAAAAGTCCTAGAAAAAAAACACAGGGAAAAGCTTGACATTTTGATCTTAGCAACAATGTTTTGAATATGTCACCAAAAGTGCAAGCAACCAAAGCAAAAATAAGTAAGTGGAACTATATCAAACTATTGATAAAAAGCTTCTGCACAGCAAAAGATACGGTCAACAAAATGAAAAGGAAACCTACAGAACGGGGAAAATATGTGCAAATCAATATCCAAAATATATAAGATCTTCAAAAAATTAAAAATAGAACTACCATATGGTCCAGCAATCCCCCTTTTGGGTATATATTCAAAGGAAATGAAATCAATATCTTGAAGAGATGCAGCCCAAACTTCCATACAGCATGATTCACAACAGCAAGCCATGGAAAGAACCTAAGCATCTGTTCACAGGTTCAAGCAGCATATCTTCCTAAGCTGGGTCACTCACCTGATTTCCACAGGGAACTGTGCATTTGTGACCAGGAAACTGGATATTTTACACTCATGCAGTAGCTTCAAAAACCTGTTGATTTCTGGGTACATGATGGGTTCTCCCACCAGGGACAAGGCACAGTGTTTCACTGTCATTCCTTCTTTAAAGCGTTCTTCTTTGACACCTGGTACACCTGGAAAACACAGAGAAAATGATCGTACTCAGTAAGGCACAGACAGAGGATAACTCCTTTTATTTTTCTTTATTAAAATGTTTACAATTTTCCTAATGGTTCCTCGATTTCAGAAGGTGAAATTATTTTTTATACCAGCCAAATAATAAAAAATGAGGGCCTAAGGGAAAAGAAAACCTAGAATTACCGAAACAGGAAAATCAGTCAGCAATCTCATTCTTAGTTTAAGTACTAATTAAACTACGTCAGTACAAGCAGGCAAAACTAACTTTATTAGCTAGTTATTGAGAAACACAGAATATATTACATTCCTTAATTTGTTTAGCTCTGCATTCTTTCATGTTCGTTTAAGTAAATGAACTCAACATATCTACACTAGATGCCCGATGCACAAAACTTATGTATTGGGGTGTGGGGTGTCCCTCAGCACAGCCTGAACCCTCTCCAATATGGGACCCCTCAGGGGATGTCTGATTGCTGGTTTAGGCCTGATCCCTAAATCCGCAGTCAGACATCCCTCTCACAATCCAGAACTGCTGGCTCCCAACCACCTGCCTGCCTGCCTGCCTGCCTGATTACTCCTAACCATTTCTGCCTGCCAGCCTGATCACCACCTAACCAATCCCCTGCCAGCCTGATCAATGCCTAACTGCTCCTCTACTGGCACAATTGCCCCCCAAGTGCCCTCCCCTGTTGGCCCGGTCACCCCTAACTGCCCTCCCCTGCTGGCCTGATTGCCCACAACTGCTCTTCCCTGCCAGCCATCTTGTGGTGTGATGACATGGGGCGGCCATCTTGTGTGAGGGAGTGATGGTCTATTTGCATATTACCTCTTTATTATATAGAATAAAGAAAAGCCTTGTCTAGACCATTCACTTTCCCCTTTATTTCTCAAACTGTCTCTTTGCAAATATTAATAAAATTGAAAACCTCTAGCTAGATTCACTAAGGAAAAAAAGAAAAAACTGAAATAAATAAAATCAGAAATAAAAGAGACATTATAATAGACACCACAGAAATAAAAAGGGCCATACAAAAATACTATGAAAGCTATATCCCACCAAAGTTGATAAACTAGAAGAAATGGACAAGTTCTTAGAAATATATATAATATGACTCAGCTTTAAGAAAAGATGCCAGACATATAGATCAATGGAATAGAATAATCAAAAAAAAAAAAAAAGAAAGAAAGAAAGAAAGGATGAAATGCTGACATTTGGGAGAATTGAGAGATCTTAATAGTTATCATAAGGGAAATAGATGAAAAAGGGCAAGAACCATATGATTTCACTCATATGTGGGATATAAAACAGAAAGCAACAGAAAAACAAATTCACTGACACAGACAACAATATGGTGGTTACCAGAAGGGAGTAGTGGGAGATTAAAGAAGGTAAAGGGGGTCAAACATGGTGATAAAGGAGACTAGATTTTGGGTAGTAAGCACACAATAGAATATACAGATGATGTATTATGGAAACTTATAAAATGTTATTAACAAATATCACCCTAATAATTTTAAAAGAACCAATTGATGAAATAGTCACATTAAGCAGATTAAACAAAAACATAATTTCATTTTTTAAAAAAAAACCTTTACAATGTGGGTAAACTTTTTAAAGTAATAATTCTGGGATTTAACAAATTCCCTTTTTCTTTTTACTGAAAAGGTCTTATCACCCACAGAGAGGGAGGAGGGTAATTTTTTCAAAAGTAAGGCCTTGAGAATAAAGCCTTGGTTCTCTCATTCAAAAAGCACAATTCTATTTTGTGCTAAATGCCAGAGGCTATACAGTGTTCCTCTCAAAAACAAGGTCCTGGGGGACTCAACTTCATGCCTTCCTTCCCTGTCCTCAAAGAAATGTGTCAGAAAAGAAGACATCCTCGAAATTTCTTTTTTTTTTTTTTTTTTTTTTTTTTAAATGTAATTTCTTTTTTTTTTTTTTTTAATATATTTTATTGATTTTGTACAGAGAGGAAGGGAGAGAGACAGAGAGTAAGAAACATCGATGAGAGAGAGAGTCATCGATCAGCTGCCTCTTGCATACCCCCTACTGGGGATATGTCCGCAGCCAAGGTACATGCCCTTGACCGGAATCGAACCCGGGACCTTTCAGTCCCCAAGCCGACACTCTATCCATTGAGCCAAACCGGTCCCGGCGACATCCTCGAAATTTCTAATGGAAAGAAGTCCTAGAGCAGGAAGACATTCCAGGGAACAACAGACATTACATTTCATTAAGAATCTATTCCTCACTGTCTGTCTGTGTCTTTCTGTATCTCTCTCTAGCACAATACGTGCTCTTGCTTCCCTATACCATATCCCTTTCACAACTAAACTCTGCTTTGTTATTCTGATTTGTTTTTATTGTTTTTTCTGAAATATGTTTTCTGGCCTTTCTCTTAATCTGAACAGCCACTTGATCCTGGACAATCACTAGTCATCAGGTCAACTAGGAAGCATACTACAACCTCATTTTACTGAAAGATTCCAAAGTAGTAACTTTAGATTCCAGACACTTCATTCTAATGTTATAGCAATAAGCTGCATAACACAGAAATAAACATGTTATATTAAGCATAGAGTATGTCTATTTTTTATTGGAGAATGTCTTTTTTATCTAGACTAATAAAAAAGTAAGATGCAAATTGACCATATCTTCACAACACCCACCAGCCAATCAGGAGTGAATATGCAAACTTACCCAACAAAGATGGTGGGTTGATTTGCATATGCAGGCACTGACATGGCAATGATGCAGGCATTCTGCACTGCCCCAGCTGCTCCAGGCCTCTGAGAAGAATGGGAAGGCGAAAAGGCAGCTCCAGGCTGGAGCGAAGGCAGTGCCGATAGCCAGGGAAAAGAAGGCCCATTCTTGAATGAATCTTGGTGCACTGGACCTCTAGTTGAGTTATAATTGAAATATATGAATATTCCTATTATTAAAGATTGGACCAATTTTTTAAAAAAAATATTCCCTACTTTCTTTTTATACCAATATAGCTGCTGACCAAAGATCTTCCTAAGAAACTCTCCTGGCTTAACATCATATACTATATGTTTGCCATAGCAACTGCCACTGTGAGGTGTTTCATAAATAAGCTTCAGAAAACAATTAGCAGGCAGTGTTCTCTTCCCCACCCTCACAACTCCTTTGGATATGTACTTTAGCATACCTCCTTTGTGAAAACTTTTTGGAGATTTTTTACTTTTTGCCTTATTTCACTTCTAACTTAAACTATAGGTAAAAACATCTACCGTGTTTCCCCGAAAATAAGACATCCTCCAAAAATAAGACCTAGCGCATGGAAAAATAAGACATCCCCTGAAAATAAGACCTAGTGCATCTTTGGGAGCAAAAATTAATATAAGACACTGTCTTATTTTCGGGGAAATAGGGTAGCAACAAATTGTCTTTTCATCTTTCACCTTCAGCACTGAGGCCATTCTAATAAGGGTTCATTCATGTGATGTCTGTTGAACTGATGGGAAACTCAGCTAAAAAAAACCCAGCCCCAGCCCCTAACTGTTTGGCTCAGTAAATAAGAGTGTTGGCCTTCAGACCAAAGGGTCCCTGGTTCAATTCCAGTCAAGAGCATGTACCTCAGTTGCAGGTGCCTTCCTCCTGCAGGAGGCAACCAATCAATGTATTTCTCTCACACCAATGTTTCTCTCTTTCCCTCCCTCTTCTAATCTCCCTAAAAATTGATGGAAAAATATCCTCTGGTGAGGATTAAAAAAGAAACCCAGCCCCATTCTCTAAAATTTGTGGTAAGGGTGGGATAGGGCAGGCAACATTATAAAAGGATGCTGAGTTGCACTAAAATCTGACCCATTTGTAACCAATATAAAGTTAATTCTGCATATGTATAAAGGGAAAGCTAATAAAGGTCATGAAAAGAAAGATGGTTTAATGATCCCATGAAATAACTGAAAAGACTGATTGCCCTCAGAAATGAGAACAGAAGCACAAAAGGAAGCATTTAAAACATCAAAATATCTTCAAAGTCTGTTCAAGGCTGGCCACTCAGCTAAAGCTGGAAACTCAGAGGCAACAATGCCCACAACAAGTATCATCCTACACAAAAATAAGATCATAAAATGACTGAACCAGACCCAGGGAAGCGAGCAGGCGTTCATCCTGGGGGTGGGAAAGCACACTATAAAAACAAAGGACTCCATGCCAGAGTAGGGGAAAGTGTTAATGAGTTAAGAGTGAACTTCTAGCCGAAACCGGTTTGGCTCAATGGATAGAGCGTCGGCTTGGGGACTGAAGGGTCCCGGGTTCGATTCCTGTCAAGGGCATGTACCTTGGTTGTGGACATATCCCCAGTAGGAGGTGTGCAAGAGGCAGCTGATCGATGACTCTCATCGATGTTTCTAACTCTGTATCTCCCTTCCTCTCTGTACAAAATCAATAAAATATATATTTTTTTTAAAAAAGAGTGAACCTCTAAAGAGACTGAAGTGAAGAAACCAGAATATAACAAACTAGGAAGGAAATCCCTTCAAGCCTTTGAGAATTACCTGTCATTTCCAATTGATAGAAATTCTGTTCTAAGCTTTCTGTTTCAACATGACATTCATTATTAAAATAGTTAGTTGTTCAAACCCCCAAATATCAAATTACTTGTTATATACCTGAACTATAGTACTAATAAATCTATTTCAATATCACCTAATCATACTCAAATATCTTCTCTATAGGAAGATGTATCCGAAGTTTCAAACAAGGAAACCAGAAACACTTTCTTTCTTTTTATGGGTTTTGTTTGTTTGTTTGAGCTTTTTAAGCCACAAGGGGACACAAGGTATAGTACTGGGGCTCTAATAAGAAACCTCTAATATGGGTGTGGAAGGACACAAAAGGGACCTGCAGGGCATCTGTGAGTGAGTGAGTCTGTGTCACATGAAATGAGCCACTACTCCAGGCCAATGTCTATTGAGTTCAGATTTGGAGAAGACAGAGAACAGACTCTCCACCAGGAGCTGAGATGAG